AAGCATTTGCTTAGGCTGGCTGTAGAAGGCAGATGGTTCAAACCCACCAGCCACTCCTTGGAAGGAAGATTGGGCAATCTACTGTAGTGATATCACCTTGGAAACCTGAGGAAGGGTCGCTATGAGTTGGATTCAACTAGACAGGGAATTATTTTTTAATGGTTATTGCCAAGGAGCTTTGGTGTGCTGTGGTTAAAGCATTGCTCACCAAAAGATTTTGGTTTGGATGGTTACTTCAAAGAGCACTATTTCATTAAAACCAAAAAAGAAAAAGAAAAAAACCTAAACCTGTTGCTGTCGAGTTGATTCCAACTCATAGTGACCATGTAGGACAGATTGGAACTCCCCCATAGAGTTCCAACCCTGCAAATCTCCACAGAAGCAGACTGCCATGTCTTTTTTCTGAGCAGCAGCTAGTGGAATTCAAACCGCTGAGCACTTAACCACCGCGGTGCCAGGGCTCCTTATTTTATTGTTGTTGTGTTGTTATGTGCCATAGAGTTGGACGCGACTCAGCGACCCCTCCTTGGGTTGCCAAGGCAGTATCACTACGGAAGTAGATTGCCCAACTTTCCTTCTGAGGAGTAGCTGGTGGGTTTGAACCTCCAGCCTCTGGTTAGCAGTCAAGTGCCTTAGGCACAACACTACCAGAGCTTACAAAATGGTTATATTCTAATTTTATAATTTCTTCTGTATTTATTAGCTGGAATTCTTCCAAGTAGAAGGGAGGGTATTTCTAAGGTAATTAAAGTGGGGATTGGGAGTAAGTGGTGTTGGGGTTATGTCTTGAGCAATATCCAGTAACACTTCCACATAGGAAATGTGATAGTTTGCTCATGGACCGTGTGTATTCTGTACCATTGTTTATTTGATTTTTTGAATAACTGAAGTGATTTAGGGAACAAACCACTCATTCCTCTGTTACTAGATCAAGCTTCCCAGGAGAAATAATCTAACCCCTCTGGTGAGCAAATCAGCTTCTGGATTTTAGCATTGCTGTTGGAATGTGTGTCCTTCCATTTTGCCTTGCAAAATCTGCATCACCTCAGAGGTCCCTGCTTCAGGACCTGGCTGCTCCACTCTGGGGGCCCCACCACAGATGTGGATTTAGTCCATGTCCCTGAGACGACTTGGGACCCAAGCATGGAATTCTCTTCTGCTGAAGTAGGGACAGCAACCACACAGTAGTAGGTCCTATCTCAGCCTGTGCCTTCATTCGTTGGAGCACAGAAGCAGTGGGCAGAGGAGAGAAGGGGTGAGTTGGGGGAGCTGTATGGGAGCAAGTGGGACTGGGCCCCTCCTGCAGTTACCGGCAGAGAGGTCTGGACTAGATGACCGGACAGGTTTATAAGGGCCCACGTTCTTAGCACCTCTCCTCACCAATGCACTTGGATAATAGGATGGAGAATCTGTTGCAAATAGGCTCCCCATGTTGACAGGACGTTTCATGGCTGGAAATCTTAGGCAAAGAGAAACTTTTTGTCAATTATTTGGCTACCCTGAGGTACCCTTTTACAGGAAAGGCAGAATCAATGCTATGGGTTCTGCCCCTTTACTCTGCCAATTTTCAAAATAATGGGCTGTTTGCCAGCCTCTTGCTTTATGAACTATGAATTTATCTTGCTTTATGAACTATGAATTTAAACAGATTTGTCTTTCAACTATTGTAGTTGTTTTCCTCATTGATGTTCAAAATTCCATATTTGACCAGAAAGGACCATAGTTTAATATTTTAGTATGTACTTTTCTATACTTTATAAATGCATATATGTATATGTATGCACACACATGCGTACTCACACATAAAATTACAAGAAAGATTCTACTATAAATATTTTAATCAACTTTATTGAGGTATATAATGAACATCATCTTTTTTTTTTTTAATTCACCAATCTTAAGTGAGTTTGGACAATTGTGTACAGTGTTGTAATCACCATCATAATGATACAGGACCTTTCTATTGCCACGCAAAGTTATTTTGTGTCTCGTGGCAGTCAGTCCCCTTCCCACCACTAGCCCTTGGCAACTACTTGTGTCACCATGGTTTTGCCTTTTTTACACTTCCATATCAGAGGAATAATAGGACTTGTAGTCTTGTATGTCTGGCTTCTTTCACTTAGTGTAATTCTTTTGAGACTCATCTATTTTCTTGTGTATATCAGTTGTTCATTTCTTTGTATTGCTCAGTGGTATTCTACTTATACACTTTTTTTTCTTGCCTTGAAAATATAGCATAAGTATCTTTATGTAATCAAAGATCACCTATGATATTCGTCCATTTATATGTAATGTCCAGAAAAGACAAATATATATAGACAGTTGATGAATGGTTGCCTAGGCCTGGGGGTGGGAGCAGGGATTGACTGCAGCTGGGCATGAGGAAATTTTGGGAGTGATGGAAGTGTTCTAAGAGTGGAGTATGGTGATGGCTGTACAACTCTATAAATTTACTAAAAGCATTGAAATGAGTATTTACAGTAGGAGAATTTTCTGGCACGTAAATTATACATCAATAAATGTTCAAAGGGAAATCTTGAAAATACACTGCTAAGTGAAAGGAACCAGACACAAAAGGCCACAATATTGTATGATTCCATTTCTATCAAATATCCAATATTGTATGATTCCATTTCTATCAAATATCCAGATTTGGTAAATCCATGGAGATTTACTGGTTGATGGTTGCCAGAGGAAGAGGGGAAGGGATAAGGGGACTAGGAGCCTAGTGGGTAGAGCATTTCCTTTTGGGGTGATGAAGATGTTCCAGAACTAGAGAGGGTAATAGTTGCACAACTCTGTGAATGTACTAAAAGCCACTGACATGTGCACTTAAAAATGGCTGACGTGGTCAATTTTATGTTATGTGTATTTTACTGCAATAAAAATAAACAAGCAAACTAATTGATTAGTCAGTTAATCGGAAAAATTGCTGTGTGGCAAAAATGTAAGTCTGTGTCTTGAATTTTTATTTTTATAGTAAACAAGTCTTTTTTAAAAAAAATTGTAAGGGATATTTATTGACATATAAAAATGTTTATAGATTTTTAAGTAAAATAAGCAAATTTTAAAAATGAATAATATGTGCACTTAGTATGATATCATTTATATTAAGTATATATATCCTCTCCTCACTTATCAACATGGTTAGTTTCCAAAGACCAGGTTGTGAGGTGAAAATTGGCGTTATGTGAAAATGAGAATGATTACATCATATCACAAAATGGAGGATGGCTACATCATTGCATAACTGCCAATTTATGTCATTACATAACTGCCAAATTACACGATTACATAACTTCCAGACCACTGAGAATCATGGACCAGCCAAGTTGACACATAACCTTAACCATCATGTTGTTGTTGTTATGTGCCATCAAGTCAGACCCGACTCATAGTGACCCCTCCTTGGGTTTCCGAGGCAGTATCACTACGGAAATAGATTGCCCAACCTTCCTTCCAAGTTAACCATCATAGGCAGCTTTAATCTCACCTCACACCTCTGTGTTCATTACTGCCAGATGTATGCTGTTAATGCAAAAAATAGCCTATACAATAGTATTTCACAATAGTA